TGGGTTCCTTCCCTTGCAAATAACTATAACGTGGCTTGAGTAAAAAAATACTGAATTTTTATTGACCTGATGACCGACATTCAGCGACCTCCTAAAATATTTACAGTTAGTATAAGTTTTTTATCATCAAGGAAAGAGTAAATTAAAAATAGCTATTCATCTATCAACTCTCGAGATTTCCTTTCCTTGAAATTATCTACAACATGGCTCATGGTAAAACATTGTCTACCAACATGTATATTAACAGGTAGTATAGTTCAGGACTGAACTTTTTATAAACAGCTTAGTGTTTTACCATCAGGGAAAGACTAAATTAAATAGCTATACACGTGTATTAGCTAATATCCAATCCATATCAAGCTGAAATTAAATCAAATAATATATAGTATATATGAAAGTGATAAATATATCAACTGACTTCCGCTGTCGTGACGTTTACCTCATTATTTATCTTTAATGTATATATTTCTGAATTGAAGTAAATGGCACCATTCATTTGTCTGTGCACAATCCTTTGATACGACTTTGATGTCACAGTCAATAAACGTTTGGCCCTTTCAGGAGATTTGAAAAAAATGTTTGTGACTACTAAAAGGTGATGAAGTCCAGTTTATAATCCGACCATCCCACATTCCTAATGAAATAGAAAATGTGACCGGAACAATGCTAATTATTTCGTCTCAGCTAATGACCTTACACCTGTGTTACTGGTTGTCTGTACAATCAATACTTGTCAATGTATTCCCTTCAACCCGTGGATAATTTCCAGAGGACCAACGTAGAGATTTATTGGGGACTCATTGCATTAACTTCATCGAATACATTATCATAAGCTCATAAACATGTTGTTCTTATCATATTTATCGAACTATTCTGTATTCGAAAATAATTGTTTACCTTTTGAATACAATCTTCATTTTACTATTATACGGTCCTAATACAAACACCACCGTAGATTCTATTTGTACATATTCAGCTCTCGATTACAACCTTTATTTGTGGTAATTGATTGACTACAACTGTATAATGATTTTGTCATTGCAGTAAAATTTTAATGGTTAAATCTACATGTAGAGACGTGTTTGAAAACATTATGCAATCTGCAACAGCAAATTGTCAAGTAAAAAAATAGGAAAAGGCATGAACATAACTGAACGTTAAGAAATATTAACCAAACTGGAAATTGATATAACAAGAGGCCTTTGAATATCTCACGGATGTTCTTTTTCGGAATGGTAAGTGTCTTTTACGTCAACGACGCCATCCACCAATCCAAGCATTGTCACGCTCCCAAATCAGAACAGAGTATACAAAAGGGAAACCAACAGGCTTCCTATCACACAAACAAATACATTATTTCTGAATGTGATCACTTCCCCAGTGTACGGGATGGTTAGGTACAGTTTGTGACAAAAATTATCTTAAATTTACGTAAGAGAGGAACTGTCATAGGAATGATTTCCTTTTGCCGATGTGCCAGAACCGCATTGTGTTGTGTGAAGAAACTCTCCAAATCATGTATCTATGTTGAAGACTATTCAAGTGAAATCAACTTCATGTGAGATAAATATTACGTCGATAGTGTATGACTGTGATGAAATACTCCTCTACGTATAATACAATGATGTGAAGAAAAGAAATTATAAGAAATAATATTGTTTAAAAATCTAAGATTTCTTCAAAGATTATAACCCATGTTGTAACAATTTCCCTGATTATTCACCTGATCGATGGATCATGCTGAACTCTGAAGAACTCTGATGTACTATAGTTAAAGATAACGTTCGATGAAAAACTGACCTTTGTGAACCGATCGAACTTACAATGTTGTTGTTATTGAAATCTGTCTCTCGATGAACTAAAGACAATATTGTTGTTAAAATTTGAATCCGAAAATACTCACAGCAGTGTTTACAATGCTAAGATTACAAACAATAACAAACTGTAGATGTGATGAAAAACCTGACCTTACGAACTTTCGTATGATATATGACGCAAATATTGTCATGACAACATTTACGTAACATGTGTATATGTCTCGCACTGATATGTGTTTCGACGAACTTGATTTTATACGCTTGTACTAATCTTGAACTGTTAATAATCAACATTTTTGTATAAGGACATGCACGATTTTTTATAGCGAAATGACCAATAAACATTACTCGTGATTAATTAATAATATTTTTAAATGATTATGACGATAAAATGGATGATGCATGTACTTGTATGTGGATGCGATGTTATGGACTGGCCTGGCATTTTAGTTAAGGTTGTTGATATGTTTGTTTATTTAGCTATGAAGGTACCCTAAACAGGTTATCGACCACTGATACAGGTATGTAGGCCTTAGAAACCTGCAATATGTGTATTAAAACATGAATTGTTACACGACGTGTATCAATTTCATTGACAAAAGATAGCAGGTTACATAATCATATAATCGAATATAACTATGTATTTCGTTTATATGAATATGGATAAATCGAATCATGACATATTTCATCACGTACAGAGTATGACCAAATAATTGTCTTTGTCAAAAGCAAAAAAAAAAAAAAAAAAAAGCAAACAAACAAACAAACAAAAAACAAAAAAACAAGAAACAAAAATTGAACGTGTTCCTACAGTTCGAATAGGGATATGGTAGGACACAGAGGAATAGAATATTCTTACAGCAGATTTCTTATTGTTTAAACGGTTCTACGTACAGTTGTTTTGTTCTTTATATACACTTCTATTGTCTCTCTAACAAATTATATTATACAGCTGTTTGTTCTTTATATACACTTCTATCGCCTCTCTAACAAACTACATTATACAGCTGTTTGTTCTTTATATACACTTCTATCGCCTCTCTAACAAACTACATTATACAGCTGTTTGTTCTTTATATACACTTCTATCGCCTCTCTAACAAATTATATTATACAGCTTGTTTGTTTTTATGGAAAATTGTATCACCTCACTGATACTGTGGGCTTTTGTAGCGTACAATTAAAATAATCCTATAGATAAATTACCCAATAGAAAAATGGAGTATAAATGCATAATTTGGGATAAGACGGAACCACTGATGTAATTCTGCACCAAAAGAACTGTTTTTGCGACTTCATCTAATACGACAGACCAGATTATGGACACCTAAACGAGCACATCAATATAAATACATAACAATTAAACATGACACTCCGCTTGTCCACTGAAAGACAGAAGTAATGAACTCGTTTTGCAGTTGTAAATACCTATATCTAAGAATTGTTTCACTAACATCGACTCGATGTATTGTTCTTGTCGTTTTATTACCCATCTAATCCTTCACATTTAAATTGTACGCAAAATCATTCAGTGAGTCCATCGAGCACGTACGGATTGTTTTTCACAGTCACAGCTAGTATAAAAATAGCATAACTTCTTCTATGTTGCATAAACTGAAGGAGCACCGTTTCCGTCACTACTGACTACTAGCAAAACCCGAATCAGACGCACAGAAGGCAAGTAAGTAGTAATTTTATGAACGCAGACTCTTCGCTTGAATGTCTTTATATTCGATCTTCATATTGAAAGGTGCTCTTCACTTAAATGCCTATTGTACAATCTTAATATTGAAAGGTGCTCTTCACTTGTATGCATGTTGTACCAACGTGATATTGAATATTGCTCTTCACTTGAATGCCTACTAATCTTCGTATTGAAAGGTTCTTCACTTGAATGTCTTTTTATACGAACATCATATTGAACATTGCTCTTCACTTGAATGTTTGCTGTATACTGTACAATTTTCACATTGAAAGGTGTCTTTTTGTACAAACATTAGTGTTAAAAGGTTTTGTTTACCTATGTGTTTTTTTTACAACGTTTAGTGTTGAAACGTGTTGTTTACCTCTGTGTCTTTTGTACAACATTTAGTGTTGAAAGGTGTTGTTAACCTCTGTGGTCTTTGTACAACCATTAGTGTTGGAAGGTGTTGTTAACCTCTGTGGTCTTTGTTAAACCATTAGTGTTGAAAGGTGTTGTTTACTTCGTTGAATTTTGTACAACCCTTAGTTTTAATAGGTGTTCTTTACTTGTATATCTACTGTACAATCTGTATGCTAAAATGCACTATTCACTGGTGTTTTTAGTACAATAATCAATATTGAAGTCATATATGTACTCACTACATTAAAGAAACCAAACATGTAGCTTTGTAATGATAAAGTAATATGTATATTTTGAGGTGTTGAACCAGTGTTCTTCCATTGTTCAGACTGTTGTTTGGTTATAGGGTGAAATGATGGACCTTCGTTTCATTCATAGTCACAAACCTCTGCAGAAAATTAGAAAGATTTGCTTCTAAAAAGTTCAGATTAGCACGCCTGGTGTGTTTTCATCAGCTGTTAGAAGTCTTGGTAACCAACGGACTAAGGGCTTTCTCATTGCAAGATCTTCCGTAAGAATGGAATGTATTCTTTCCTGTGAAATCCCAGCCTATCAGCAATAACAATGTCATTGGCTTTATTGACCATTTCTGGAGCTGGAACAGTGACAGGCCTTCCAACTCCATCGCCAAGGCTTTGCCTGCAAAGCTTAAATTCGGCCACCCACACACTACTGTAGCATATGAATGGGCATCATTCCATAGTGTTGCTACCATATCAATATGGATAGCCTTAGGTGCTAGACCTTTCTTATCCAAATAAGTTCTTTAAGCAATTTTGTCCATTTTGTAAAAGTCACTTGCGTTGTTTACTCTAGAATACTAACTCTTCGAACATAAATTGGGCAAATGACACTAGTGTTCGGGTACACAGCTTTAAGTAGTTAGGGAATAATAGAGCTGAAAAATGACACCCCTGCTTAACCTCTTTAATAGAAGGTTCACAGCTCATCAACCAGCCTCATATTATGACTGTCCATTGATGATATACTTTTTTTTGTAGAATAAGATGCAATCATTACAAAAATATCTAGTAAGTCACATTCATTCGTTTTTCAGTTCACCCAGTTCTGAGATAGATATGGCCAAACAGATTTACGTCAATCTACAGGAGAATCAAAACTTATCTCGCGGGGATACACATTGTTTTGAGGAACCAGACATACTTTTCTACATACCAAGAGTAGAGGAGACGCCTGCGAACAAGCAACAATTACTAGAACAACTATGTGAGAACGACAAGTATTACACCAGAAAACAAGAACACGGAAAATATGGAGATGCCAAATCTACAGACAGAATATACCAGATGGATTCTACAAACCGTATGCAGGACCAACTTCCTATTCCAGACAGCCAAAACAAGTCAACAACCAGAATGTTCCATATGGATTCTACAAACCGTATACAGGACAAACTTTCTGTTCCAGACAGCCATAACAAGTCAACAAGCAGAAGTTATCAGCTGGATACTACAAACAGAAAACAGGACCGAATTCACGTTCCGAACAGCCGCAATAAATACCATACCTACAAAGGAGTGCAGGGAGACATTTACATAAAGTACGACAACAGCATCCGCGCTCACAACTGTGCGGCTGACATAGAAAAATCTAGAATAGTTCCGAAAGAGGACCGAAATAACAACAAAACGATTATGAAAGTGGTCATAGAAAACATCCGGGAATTGCCAACTTCTGGCCAACTGGAAATAATACTGGACTTACCTCCTTGGTTTCAGGAAAATATGCAGAGAAAATCGGTATCAAACGGAACGGAAAATGACGGTACAGATCTGAATAGTCAAAATGACTCTCATCCGGTTCAAAAGATAAAACACTGTACATGTCGGAACCTTGCAGGCACACTATTTGACGTTAAATTGACCGGAAATAGTTCGCATTGTTTGAATATACCGGAAATGCGTTCACGATCAAATTCGGATTCCAAGTTGCAGTTCCGACAACCGCAAAAACACAATATAATGGCAGTGACACCAGATCGAATATCAAAATGGAAACAAATACAGAACAGCAATGCTTCACTTCCAGAAATAAAAGTACAAGATTTCTCTGATAGAAGGAATGATTTACAATCACGCTTGAAAGATGAATCTGAGGACTTGAAAAAGGATTTGCTAGACAACGCTGATTTCATATCACAGATAAATTATTACAGGAAACAGTTACCTATGAGGCTTAAAAGTCGACAGAACTAAAGACAAAACGAGAGGGTACAAGGTAGCGTGTTGGTAAATTTATACATATCACTGTTTGTCGCGGTGTTTCACAGGAGTTAGACATGAGCTAGAAAAGTGTGAGTAGAACATCTGTAATTTGTCTAACGTAGAGTAACGCCTTTTTTTCAGTAAGGTAATTACAAGCATTCCTATCACAATGCAGGTGTCCACCAGTAATCTTTTATAAATGATGAAAGATATTTTGTTTATATCAGTATAAGGATAAGACCTTAATGTATCATCAAAGGAATATCTTGTCATAATCTTCGTATTGAATAAATCATCATAATCTGTACATGAGCCTTTTACAAGCATATACGCCAGTACGCTCCACATTGGTCATGATGAGGGCGACCGTGTAGTCATCGAAACGTCACATTGGTTGTGTTTTAACAACTGTTATTCTATGGTGGTATATCGTGATTATATTGTTGTAACTATCCGTTTACTGCCTCGGCTACATTTTGCCAGTAAAAATTAACTTTCTGCTGTTTAAATCAAGATATACTAAACAAAGCATTTCCCCCTTGATAAAAGCTTCATTTTTTTTCTTTTCACGTACATTGATGTATACAGCCAAGAGTTATTTACTGAAGTGCAGAGCTTTTTCTCTAAAACGTTATAAATGATCAGATCCCTTTAGAGACACATGATGGAGAGTGTCTTATGCCAAATTGACCGTTTCTGTCCTTTTTCTGTTCTATAAGACTTTTATAGTGGAACATTGTGTTATTTTTTGTGAGCACGGGTTACAATGAAAATCTTATTCAATCGAGCACGGGTTACAATGAAAATCTTATTCAGTCGAGCACGGGTTACAATGAAAATCTTATTCAGTCGAGCACGGGTTACAATGGAAAATCTTATACAATCGAGCACGGGTTACAATGAAAATCTTATTCAGTCGAGCACGGGTTACAATGAAAATCTTATTCAGTCGAGCACGGGTTACAATGAAAATCTTATACAATCGAGCACGGGTTACAATGGAAAATCTTATTCAGTCGAGCACGGGTTACAATGAAAATCTTATACAATCGAGCACGGGTTACAATGGAAAATCGTATTCAGTCGAGCACGGGTTACAATGGAAAATCTTATTCAGTCGAGCACGGGTTACAATGGAAAATCTTATTCAGTCGAGCACGGGTTACAATGGAAAATCTTATTCAGTCGAGCACGGGTTACAATGAAAATCTTACACAATCGAGCACGGGTTACAATGAAAATCTTATTCAGTCGAGCACGGGTTACAATGGAAATCTTATTCAGTAGGTTACAATGGAAAATCTTATTCAGTCGAGCACGGGTTACAATGAAAATCTTATTCAGTCGAGCACGGGTTACAATGGAAAATCGTATTCAGTCGAGCACGGGTTACAATGGAAATCTTATTCAGTAGGTTACAATGGAAAATCTTATTCAGTCGAGCACGGATTACAATGAAAATCTTATTCAGTCGAGCACGGGTTACAATGAAAATCTTATTCAGTCGAGCACGGGTTACAATGAAAATCTTATACAATCGAGCACGGGTTACAATGGAAAATCGTATTCAGTCGAGCACGGGTTACAATGAAAATCTTATTCAGTCGAGCACGGGTTACAATGGAAAATCTTATTCAGTCGAGCACGGGTTACAATGGAAAATCTTATTCAGTCGAGCACGGGTTACAATGAAAATCTTACACAATCGAGCACGGGTTACAATGAAAATCTTATTCAGTCGAGCACGGGTTACAATGGAAAATCTTATTCAGTCGAGCACGGGTTACAATGAAAATCTTATACAATCGAGCACGGGTTACAATGGAAAATCGTATTCAGTCGAGCACGGGTTACAATGGAAAATCTTATTCAGTCAAGCACGGGTTACAATGGAAATCTTATTCAGTAGGTTACAATGGAAAATCTTATTCAGATATATTAGATATAACACATTGATATTGTGTACTAGTACGTCCAGATTTATGCTATTTATCTTATAACGTGTTGACGCTGTTTCTATATGAGTAAAAGTATCGTTGTACATGAAACATGATTTTAAGTATTTGTCATGTTTTTGAAGAGATGATATTGTAAAATTGAGACGGTAAATAAAAGCATTGAACACTTTACATTAGTTCATCATTACTTAACTGTAATGTATAGGGTTTTCAAACCCCTAGCATCAACCTACTAACATTGCTGATAAGTCTTGGGGTGTATAATTACATGAATGTAAGTTTATACTATAACTTCAAGCACCTAGAATCACTGACGAGTACTTGAGTGTGTTACTGCCAGGCTATAAGTTATACAGTTTATACTATAAATTCCAGACACCTAGTATCACTGACGAGTACTTGAGTGTGTTACTACCAGGCTATAAGTTATACAGTTTATACTATAGATTCCAGACACCTAGTATCACTGACGAGTACTTGAGTGTGTTACTACCAGGCTATAAGTTATACAGTTTATACTATAAATTCCAGACACCTAGTATCACTGACGAGTACTTGAGTGTGTTACTACCAGGCTATAAGTTATACAGTTTATACTATAGATTCCAGACACCTAGTATCACTGACGAGTACTTGAGTGTGTTACTACCAGGCTATAAGTTATACAGTTTATACTATAGATTCCAGACACCTAGTATCACTGACGAGTACTTGAGTGTGTTACTACCGGGCTATAAGTTATACAGTTTATACTATAGATTCCAGACACCTAGTATCACTGACGAGTACTTGAGTGTGTTACTACCGGGCTATAAGTTATACAGTTTATACTATAAATTCCAGACACCTAGTATCACTGACGAGTACTTGAGTGTGTTACTACCGGGCTATAAGTTATACAGTTTATACTATAAATTCCAGACACCTAGTATCACTGACGAGTACTTGAGTGTGTTACTACCAGGCTATAAGTTATACAGTTTATACTATAAATTCCAGACACCTAGTATCACTGACGAGTACTTGAGTGTGTTACTGCCAGGCTATAAGTTATACAGTTTATACTATAAATTCCAGACACCTAGTATCACTGACGAGTACTTGAGTGTGTTACTACCAGGCTATAAGTTATACAGTTTATACTATAAATTCCAGATACCTAGTATCACTGACGAGTACTTGAGTGTGTTACTGCCAGGCTATAAGTTATACAGTTTATACACGCACCTAAGATCGTTGTAGTGTCCTAGAGTTTGTAACTGTATACAGTGTATACTATTATTACTACTTTATACTTTAAACTGTAGGCGCTTAGCATCACTGTCGAGTCCTATACAGTGTTACTGTATGACAATAAGATATATACTTTGTAATACACAACAACAAATTACCAACAGGTCAATGTAAACATAATCCAAACTCAAATTAAATAAAACAATTGGGCAAAAACTGGACAAAAGAAAGATTAGAATGGCAACTCAAAAAAGAACAGGGAGAATACGACCAGGTAATCAAAATAGTAAGAATCATCTGCTTCATCGACGACACCCGCCATGTAAATCATGGTCAATCCAAGTAAATAATGCCACGGTTTCAAATGAGAGCAAGGTTGCGACAACAGAACCAACAGGCAAACTAATGAGCATCAAACTCGTACTGTTTCATATCTCACAAAGAAAGAGAATATTTTCAATGAAATCATTATGACAGGCGTGAAACTGCTCCATAATTTTCACCAATTTTTAACTAATGTGAATCTGTTAAATTAATGCTATGTGGTGGAAATACATATACAAATGTATGCTTATTTGTATGCCATTTATTTAAATCATTAGGATAGGGGCTCCTTGGATGAAATTTAAGAATCAGTGTTATTCCACAAGATAAATTCAATGTTATGTAAATTACATGTTATCTAGTCATTATAAAATAATTCAATTATCCATACTTTAGATGATACATGTACAAATTAATTAATCAAATTAAATTGGTTGATTGAATTAAATTCTCATATCTGAAGTTATCCAAGACCCTCTCCTATTTCCATTTCTCTTAAATTGTTTTATTTTTGCTAATGATAACAAAATTCACATGTTAAAATGTATATAACCGTTTGTCATTCTACATGACAGGAGAGACCATAGTTACCAAGGTGAAAAGTTGAAAAACGTTTAAAGCATGAATGATTAAATCAAATAGGATGAGAAATAAGTATTTAGGTGTATGTGCAACACAGCTGTTGTTGATGATGATGATGATGATGATGATGATGATGATGATGATGATGATGATGATGATGATCGATGAATGATCGATGATGATGATGATGATGATGATGATGATGATGATGATGATGATGATGATGATGATGAATTGACATCGATGATGATGATGATGATGATGATGATGATGATGATGATGATGATGATGTAAGGCATGACTATTTTTGTAATTTAACTACAAATTATATAACTATACTATAAATCCGTAAAATTGTCTGTATCCAATAAGTTGATTACAATTATTTGTATCTCATAAGTTAGAAAAACTTGTGAGATCAAATCGAAATTAATTGGGAAACAATTGCTACTGTCAGAATACCTGATGAAATTATTTACGTTTTAATTGTGTGTAGTGTTCTCCACCGTCATGTTGCATAAACTGTATTGATATTGTTGTGTACCCTGATTTGTAAATCCTATATGCTGTACTGCATTTGGAAATAAACTGAATAGAATAGAATAGCTGACATTCGCCAACTACATCACTCTAGATAAGATAATCAGCTTAGTTGAGGTGAACATTAAACTGAAAACATTACAGGTGAGTACATAATTTCACAGGTAAGTACTCTAAGGACATCGTCATTAACTGGCTAAACATCAGAAAGCAACCCTTTTTATATTACACTAAAACTGTTTACTTAAAGTAAAGTTAATCTTTGCGAAATAATCCATAACGTTTATAACAATATAAAGTAATGTAGTGATTTTCCAGATGAACAAACATCTATTTTTCAAAATAATAACACGA